GAAAATAAAATGAGCTTGCACCATGTTGATACACCTGCTGAGTGCCAGTAGGAATTGAACCTGACAAGGTTCAGGTATGAGTGGTGGCTGGAAAGCCTCAAAAGAGAAGAGGCAGCATCTTGAAATCTCCCATCTCTAAACAACTAGAATTAGAGCAACAACTTTTAACAATTCATCTAATTTCAGAAACAGATTCTATATTTCTAGCCTAAAATGTTTACTGCAACGGAACTTAAAGTCTTTGCTACAAAAGATATTCTCCCCAAGACCTTTGTTGCGGAATACAAGGGAGTTCTCTTGAATAAGGAGGAGGCTTCAAGGAAAGAAGAGATTTATAAGTTAATGAAGCAGGATAAGTTTTTCCTTCTTGATGTGAGTGAAACAATGCAAATTCAAATGATCTTTGAATAAATTATAGATCGGACCAAACAAAACGATCGATGCGACAAATTCAATTGGCACCTACAGACCTCAGAGGACCCCTCCAAGGTCCGAGATGCTGAGACTACAGACCTCTGAGAACCCCTCCAAGGTCCTGGGGGATGAGACTACAGACCTCAGAAGACCACTTTAAGGTCCGAGATAATGAGACTACAGACCTCAAAGGACCCCTCCAAGGTATCTGATATGCTGAGACTATAGACCTCAGAGGACCCCTCCAAGGTCCTGGGTGCCCAACAGGGAATAGCATTGCGTGGCCATCGGGAAGTGGAAGACTCTGAGACTGTATCAAGGATATTAATCATCACTTCTGTTGTACAGCCTTATCTTGATTGTAATAAAAAATAAATCCTGCAAGACATCAGACCACCTCCTCCAGCTACAACTCCATTGGCACTGGCCACACATAACACATTGTGAGCTGACCATGGATATAGTGTGAGTTGATACAATTGAGTATTGGGCATATTAATGATGGACCCCTTACAAATTTTTGTTTTCTCCAAAACAATTAATAGTCATGTCAAGGATGGCTAATTATTTAGAGCAACTTTGCCATCCATTTATTAAAAATAATAAGATTTATAACTTGTCTTATATTTTCACTTGTGCTGATGAAATCAATGAACATTCATGTATGTCAGAACATAAAGACAACCACATCCTTCATGGAGCACATGTATGTAAGGGATTGATTCTAGCAGAATCTGGAACATTCTGTTATATATGTGAGTATTCTTGAGGCCAATCTAGGCCAATACTTAAAGCCCAGCATACACTAGGCAACATGTCACTAACAATATTTGTGGTTCCTTTGGTCTTGTAAGCAACATGCTGCTATTTCTGGCAAGATGTTGCTTACATAATTTAAAGTACCACAAATTTTGCTAGCAACATGTTGCCTGGACCTAGTGTATGTTGGGTTTAACAGAACCTTCTAGATTAATAAACATTAGAGGATAAAAGGAGAGGACCAGCAAGGTATTAAATCAATTGTTTCTCTTTGAAATATTAATACCATATATACATATATATAAGTGTGATTTTTGAGAAGTTCTGAGAGTTTGAGTTCTTCTGATGAGTATTAAATAGCATTAGAGGAACAATCACTTCACAATACAATTGTTACTTTGTGTTCTGAGTTTCTTTTTAAGTACTTGAATAGAAAGAGTTTGGTCCCTTAATTTACATGCTCAGCCCGTTACAGACTAAATGCATGAATGCAATCAATCATCATGCAAGTAGATGGAATTAAAGACAGAAAGGACACCAGACAAAAAAGAGAAAATCAGAGTACAGGTATGAAGTACAGTGTCACATAAATTCAAACCAACATCATTACCTATTCCCATACAACAAATAATGGTCGGTGTTGTCTTTACCACTCCAATTTCAGCTGCTAACTAAAATTAATAATTCTCCAACTGGATCATCCTCCTCTTTCTTTGATAAAAGTCTGTGGCTTGACCTGCAAGTGCTCTCTGGAAACACAAGAAAAGATGCGACCAAATGCAACTGTGGCAGCTGAAGAAGCCAAAGAAGCTTCAACAAGAATGTAGCAGGTTGTAGTATTAAACATAAAGACATGAAAAAAGGAGCTTGTAAGCACAAATGACAAGTTTATATTTCACAGGATATTAAGGGAGTGAGTCTAAGAGACACTGCCTCTTTCAACAACAAGAACAAAAATTAATAATGCAGAATAAAAAAATGAGTAGATCCTTACGTTATGTTCAAAGCCACTCATTAGGACAGAGTTCCTTGCCAGCTCACACATATCACTAAAGAATCCGAACATAATAAGAAGGTCGCATAGCAGCAACCATCAAGTATGGCATCTAATGAACCTTTAGAAGTGGAACCTTTCAGCTCTGAGGAGTCTCCAGACATGTCAGTGCTCGAGATTAGCTCAACGGCCCCATCAGCATCAAACGCTGACTCGGACTATGACCCAAAAAAGACACTTGTGTTCATTATGGTATCATGAAACACACAGTTTTACCTCACAGTCATTTTCATCTTCGACACTGTCACTATTTTCACTATCCTCATCTTCATATGAGGAATACAAGAGATCAGCACCAATTTTATTTATCTGTCACCAATGACAGACAGTCCTTATGCTATGTTCCGTCATAAAAAATGAACAAAAAATTAACCAAGAGGCAGAGGTCATGAGTAAATTTCTTAAAAGCACTGAAGATAACAAAGAAGCAAAAGTGAATGAAATCAAGGATGCACGATTTTTAACTGAATGACAGATTATGAGATGTTGTAGATACATCTCTCATCTCACTTCTTTCATGTCCTTTACCTTTAGGGTGAAGTCAGGACAAGACAATAATCGATATTTAAAATTAAGCAACCTATGAAGATCATGGTAAGGGGAGTTCATATGAGGTTATTAAATAAGAGGCAAGGAG